CTGCCTGAGTTCCTTTGTTAGTTCATGAGGCACGGCTTGGAACCGGTGGGTATTGCGTGGACCAATGACGACTGGGCATGCATTAATCACTTGCAAGTCTCCCACCTGTATTGCCTCTTCTCGACACAGACTCCACCTATCATTCGACCCTCCCCCGATTACTACCTCGCTCCTTCCCGACGGAACTATGGTTAGCTCCTCCTCCTCCTCCCATCCCCACTCCTCCCCCCCGGCGGCTCTGGCTATCTCGGTTCCCGGTGAGGGGGTGTGGGCGGGTGTCGGAGGCGGCGAGGGGGCGGAGCTACCTCCCCCCTCGCGCCTATGGGTGGGGCGGGGCGGCGCAGGGGGCGGGAGAGACGGGTCAGTACCCGGGCCGCTTGATGGGCAAGATGGCGGTGCCCGAGCGGGGCCACGTGGACGGCGGTCATCTGCGGGGCGGGGGGGCAAATCTGCTGGGCTACCCTCCCGGTCACCGTAACGGAGCCCTCTGCGGTTATCCCATGAACGGGGATCTCGCATCGCAGGCTCCATTCCCTCCCAACGGCCAGTGCCCCTCCGGCTTTCGGCTTCTGACTCTGTGCTTAAATCACGAACGCTTCCCATTCCCCCCCCCGCCGGACTTTGGGCATTAGTGTCCCTACGCCTAAAAGTTGGGCGGCTGCTGCCAGCAGTATTATTCGGGGGGTGCATGTCGGTGTTATACGCTTGTGTGGTGCGCTCGTGGACTCTGTGTAGTGCAGACATTATTATCTGCCATGCTGGGAAAGCTCTGATAGCCTGGGGGTCTCCCCCTTCAGCTGTGAGCTTTATGAGGTTCCCTAGTTCTTCCCATATGTGTATATGTAGGGCTTCTGCCAGGGGCAGTTCGGGGGCTGCTGTCTGTGTAAAGCGTACAAGCTCAGTGAGTTCGGCCCATGTGGCTTGCACATTATATGGTCTGAGAAGGATTATCAGTGCATCTGTGTCTTGTGAAAGTGCGGTGGAGAAAAAGATTCCCATTTTACCTTGTCTCGGCACTTTGAACGCACGTGTGCGGAAGTTCTTTGTGTGGTGGCTGGCTGCTCCCAGTTCTGATCGGCTGGTTTCCCCGGTTCAGTGGCAGCGGCGGCACAGCGTGCTCGATCGGCGGCGCGGGTGGAACGGCAGGGCTTCTCGCGGCTCCGGCGGCGGCTGCGGCGGCGGCTGCGGTCCCTCTCGGCGCAGCGGCTCGCGGCTCGGCAGCGGGTGCGGGGTCCTTCTCCTCGGCGGCGGCGGCTCGGGGCGCGGCTTCTCCTCGGCGGCGGCGGCTCGGGGCGCGGCTTCTCCTCGGCGCGGGCGGCGCGCGGTCTGCGGGGCTCGCTAGGCGAGGTGGGGTCGCGGGGGCTGCGGACGCGGTCGCGCAGGGCTCGGCAAGAACGGCGGGGGGCGTGGAGCTGCGGGGCTTTCTGCTAGGCAGTCAGCCAAAGCAGGGGTCCGGGCGGTGCGGCTGGGGTGGTGCGGGCAGCGGCGCCGATCCGCGTGGCTGTTTCAGCCACGGCGGTGGGCGGTGGCGCGGTAGGGGTTTCCCCGCGGTTTCAGCGCATCTCGCAGCTCAGGGGTCCGGGCTGCGGTCACGCTGCCGGTCGGGGAGCAGTTCTAACCGCGCAGGCTGCCTTTCAGCTCACTCACCGCTGCGATGTTGCTTTGGTCCCTCTCCGCTTTCTCCGGTGCCCGCCCGCTCCGATCTCTCGGCGAGTTCTTCTTTCTTCTTTCTTCCCGTTTTTTTGTGCACTAACCTATAGTTTTTTGAGCTCACTAACTTCGTTCCTTGGACTACCCCAAGGCAACGTTCACAGACGTCTATGTTTTTTTCAGTAAAGGACTCCCACTTTATAAAACTAAAGTGATAACCGGAAATCCACCGATAATACCTGGTGCAGGTTTTTAAACTATCAGATCTAATGTAGATTTGGTCCCATCTGGGGTGCCAGATGTAGCGTCCACGTGGCCACTGCCTTTATATGATAAAGAATAACTACACGCTCTCCGGAGCTGGTGGAATCAAAGAGTCTTTATTCGAAATTCCCGCACTCTTTTATATCCCATAACCACATGATCTCTCTACCCAATGGGGGTTGTGAACCTCGGCGCATACTCCTTGGGCCTCTCTGCCCCAGTACATCCCCCTGTACCTCAGACACGCCCCTACAGATTTCCACCTCTTTCAGGTGCAAAACATTTTGAGAGAACGTAATACATACACATGGGTAAATACTGATGTTGGGGTTTAGTGGCAGTTAAAATTTACAATTACTTAATGACAGCTTTGGCTTCAGATTTTTTTAGGATCTGTGTGCTTCTCAGTACAATTAATTTTCATTATTTATCGTGGGGTTTGGTATTTAAGCACATATTATTTAATTCTATAATTGTATTACTTTTCAGGGACACACACTGATTTAGTGTGAAAATAGTTCTTCTGAAATCAGAAAAATATGTTGTAACTTCTAAATTTCTTTTAAAAAAAGAATGAAGTAGAAAGTGTTTATACGTATTTGCTTTGCCAAAGTGGGATATCAAATGCATTACTGCATGCAGAAGTTTGAATTAACATCCTTGCTGAGATATAGCTACATTATTTCTCATGTGCTTTAAAGCTTTGCACTTAGTTGCATCTTCTGATGCTTCAGCAAGTGCTTAAACTCATCAAATGATTGATGGATGTGTTTGTAAAGGCTTGGATGATCACTTTATACAAAATTATAAACCTACTCTTGTACTTAATGAGGTCAGTGAAGCAATCAGAAAAGAAATATATAATTCTGTAGCATGGGTCTGTAAGCATGATACTTCTTAGGCTTTTTCATTAAGTTTAATGAAGCAGCTACTCAACTGCTGAATATTCTTGTCAAACAGTCTCAGCATGGATTTAAAAACTAAAATGTTGCTGAATATTATGGTCTCCTTGGAGAGTCCCTGGCTCTTATTCCCTTCAAAAAGTCTGAATCTTTTATATGTTAATGGTTTTTAAATCAGCTATTTGCTTCCTTTTCATTGTAAATGAGGCCTGGAGTCTGATTTCGTTCCCCATTCTCTGGACGCTGTATCCTCATCAGCGGTCTCAGTTCACTCTCTGGGGTATGTGTGGTCTGAAAATAGCTAAAATAATCCTGTAAAACAAACACTTTGCCAAGCATTTTCCCATTTTAGATGCCTTTCTAAGAATTAGTCTATGTGTGAAAATTTGCATGGTACAACTGAGCCAGTACCCACATCAGTCCTATAAAATCTTACTGCCAGAAACTTCCATTCAGGGGACTTCTGAAGGTTAGCACTATTACTTAAATCCAATGAAGTCAAATTACAAGGTTTCTTTTAAGCCCCAAAGAAACACTGCTGTTTAAAGGAGTTTGTTGATGTTTAGTTTTTAAAGATTGTTCTCAACTGCAGTGCTGGTACTTCACTGTGGTGTGACTGTGGTATTCGATGCAAAATGTGGTTTTTTTGAGGGTTAAACTCTGTGCAACATATGAATATCTAGTTGTAACTTGCAAAGTTTACATGTGACTGTAGCCAAGTGTCTGAAGGCATGCTAGGAAGTCTTTTCCTCCGTTTTGCAGAGGGATTAACCCACCCTGTACAAATGCTGACCTGAAGAGGAATCCTGCAGGCACACAGTCTGTGGAACCATGCAGCTTCCCCTCTCCTAGCCAGGAGCATCCTACCAAGGTGTCAGGAATTTACATTCCCAGGCTCTTTGTGACCAGCATAACCCTTCCTTTCCAATTACCACAGCTGAAAGTGCCATACAAAACACACGTTAAAGAGCAAAACAGAGAAGAAACATACTAGCTAGCTGTGATTCCTACCTCACCTTGTGACATAAATTACCACTGCGTGCAGGCTGTTACTAAGCAGGTCTGTGTGACTAAAGCCCTGCACAGCAATAATTGCCAGGTCTGGGCTATGCTGTGTGCTGGTGATAGAAGACACTAAGCAGCAGTGGAGTGTTTTCAGAGAGGGTCTGAAGCGCATCAGCCGTTCTCTCCTCCAATACATAACTCTTCCTGTTGGCAGACTGTAGCAGCCTTTAAACTGTCTTAGTTTAGCAAGATTACAACTTAAAAATTAAGAGACTTTGGATGGAAGTGGGGAAAAGGAAAAAAGAAACAGCTTTTTATTAACAAAATCCGAATAAACAACAAATGGTGCAATCAAAAACCTTCAGAGGAAACAAAACAAAGTCCCAGTTCCCCAGGTGGCAACCCTGGGGGGGGTGGTTGGGGGGAAATGCAGGACTGTAGCTGCTCGCAGCCCCGTGCACTGGCAGTCAGGAATGAAGGAGTCCTTTTTCCCACAAGCAGTCTTGAAAGCAGAATACCTCGCTCCGAAATGGGTCGGTCTCTCTCTCTCTGCCGTTCTCTGCGAGGTGTCCTATGGGGAAAAACTTCCTCTCGGGAAAAGAGAACGAGGCGGCCAAAAACTGGGCTCCTGCTCTGTCCGGTCCCGGACCAAACCCCAAAAGCCCTTGAACAAAGGAGTCCCCAGCCTGTCCCTGCAGTCACCGTGCTTTCCCGCAAGCCCTCCCCCTCTCCGTGCCCCTGTGCTGCCCCGCACGTGCGGCCCTGCTCCGCCCCCACCCCCTCCCTGACTCCCCCCGGGGGACGGGACCCTAGGGAAAAAAAGAAAATTCCAACATCTCTTTTCAAACCTATGACAAACTAAAAAGGGCACAAAATAAAGATTGTATAGTCCTTTGAAACATTTCAAAGGTGGGGGAGTGAGAAATGGTTCACTCTTTCCATTTATCACTTGTGACCTTAGGAGTCTGCAGAGGGAAAAAAAAGCAACAGAGAGCTCTGTCTTGCTGTGTCTGAGATGGACAGACTGTTTTTCAGTGTCACATAATGTTTTAAGCTGCCAAGCAGGCTTCGGAAGTCTGGGGCAGGGAGCCAGGAATGTTTCTGCTCACAGGGGTAGCAGACAGGGATTGACGTGCCCCTTGCCCCCCACACCACCACCCTGTTCTCCCTCTTGCCCAGATGGGGACCTTCTGCCCAGCGCCATGAGGACAAGCTGCTGCAGTCACCTGCCAGGAGTCCCACCGGAGCACCCGCTGGCTCCTGAGGGCAAGGCCCTGCCTGGTGGCAGCGGTGCCCCAACCAGCAGCTGCCCTCAATATGTCATGCAGGTGTCGTCCAAAGATGGGCAGCTGCTCTCCTCCATTGTGAGGATGCTTGTGACACAGAGGTACGTGGGGAAAGTAAGTTGGAATGGGCCCTTCTCTACTGGATGCACCTTCCACAGCTGCTGCTGCGAGCCTAGTGGGAGCCTGAAGGAAAGATGTGCTGTGCTTCACGAAACATTACCATAGTGCACTTGTCATTGAACCCTCATCCTAATATTGTCACTGAAAATGTTGGGATAAATCAAACTCTATTTTTTTTAGTATTAGAAAGCAGGCTTACTTTATTCAGAGCGCTGGGCACACATGGGGTCCCTCCACATGCACACATACTTTCAAAACTTCACTATTTGTACATTCTAGCCAACAGAGAAACTAATATTCATTGTCTATAAATTGCATAATTCTCTCATTAATTAGTATTCTAACGGTTATTGATTTCTCATTTAGGCTAATCAATCCACACTTTCAGTCTTTTTTATCATCTTTTTATTCCCAGATACAGAGTGTTTCAGTACAACTACTGAATTTTCTTTGTTAGTTTCTTTTTTATCTCAAAATGTCCTTGTGGTCTCTCAGCCTTTGTTTGTTGAAGCATGTAAATGTTGGTTTAGCAAAACCTAAAGTTTCAGTGATTTTCCCAAACTGTGTTCTCACAACGGCAGCTTATGACAAACCTTGCTGAACACTGGTTACAGTGCACATACACACTGCTTATGGTTAATTAAAACAATTAATTGGAAAAGTTAATTAAAACAATTAATTAGAAAAGTTATTAGGAAAGTTATATTGTTTCTGACAGCATCATAGTGATTATGCTACATAATGTGGCACATTTCCTAAACATTTCCCAAGCCAGCGTGACGTTTTGTCCGTGGTAGTGACACAACCTTCATTTCTGAGATTACCTGGCTTGGTGTATGTGGTAGGGAGAATTTTTGTTTCCAAGACCTCCGCCGAGAGATTGACCTTCTCAGCCTCGGCAGTCAGGGGAGCTGAGTTGAAGCTGCAGTGATGAGGTCCCATGTTTCAGCAGCACTGGTGCTCCCAGCCTGCTTCCTCTTTCCTCCCACTGCACCCAGGCACCCCCCAAGGACTGCCTTCCTCTTTCCTGAAAGATTCCTCTGTAAAACAGAGCATCTTAAGAGTTAAAATCAGAGTCTTTAGGTTATCAGTGGCAGGAGGAGCACCCCTCTCCCTTTGCATGTTAGCACTTCCCACAGGAACGTGGGTGGATTGAGGGGAGGCAGTGCAGAAGAAAAGGCCAGAGGATCACCACTGGAATAAGAGGTGACACCCTGTACATGAGGAGTGATGACACACATCACCACTAGCATAAGAGGTGCCCAGCTGAGGCAGATTTAAAACTTCCCCGGTGCACTTGGAGATTTCTTGCACCACTGCTTTGTGAAGAGGTGGGAAATATAAAAATGCAGAAGCACTCGGTTATCTGTCTCTCACCTGCCACTCTAGTGTTTTCGCTTTACACCTTCCATTGGCCCAGCAGCTTGGAGTAGTAATTACAGAGCAAAGTACTCAATCTACAAGTGTTTCCTGCACTGTTAATTCGTGACATGCACAGAGCCTGGTGTACTGACCAGTGATTTTCTCTCTCCTTCCTCCAGCAGCCCCTTCAATGACCGACCTATCTGCAGGATATGCCATGAGGGCAGCAGCCACGAGGGCCTACTGTCCCCCTGTGAATGTACAGGGATCCTGGGGACCATTCACCGCACCTCCCTGGAGCACTGGCTGTCCTTTTCAAACACCAGCTACTGTGAACTCTGCCACTTCAGGTTTGCAGTGGAGCGCAAACCCAGGCCACTGGTGGAGGTCAGTACATGGGGCAGGTCTGTGAAAGCTCAGCTTTACTGAAAAAATCATGTTTGTTTCATACAGGAGTCACAAAGCCTTTGCAGCTCCATGGAAGCCACAGCGAGCTGTGAATTTGGGGCTTGGCAGTCTGAGGGCAGGAGCTCAGGGAAAGGGCAGGAATAACAAAACCCTCATTTTGAACTGAATCAAAACAAGCGAGAAGAACAGGATCAATGGGTTTGCTTCAGTGCAAACCTGAGTGAGGAACAGTGTGCAGCAAATTCCTAGAATGTCAGACAGTTTGGTTGGAAATGGAAGAGAGGTAAGTAATTGTTTCTGTAGAAAGCAAGACAAGTGTCAGGACTCAGTATGTTAAATATAGGTCAGGAATTTTTTCTCCCTTATCAATGAAAATTCAGTTTTTACCAACAATAGATGTTTTAGCAGCTTCATGAGGTTCTACAGGTTTTAGGGGCTTTTTTGGTCCTCAGAAAAAGAAAAAAAAAAACAACAAAAAAAGAAAAAACCCAAAGTCACTGTCTTGACACTGTTAATGAACTTTGTTCTCCCATGTACTAATTTGGAAAAAGAGAAAGCAAAAATTATGGTTTCTGTTGAATTTAAAAATGAATTACAATAGTAACATTTGACAAAATTAATGAGAAGCATCTTCTTGTAGTTCGTGACATAGGCACTTACAGGCTGAGCTTGGGTTCAAGACAACATATCTGTCCTGTGCATTTTAGTTGTTTTGTAAATTTTGTCATAACTGGTGGAAGGATTTGGTGCTAAATACGTCTTTGGTGCTTCTTGCAGGACTCCAGCCTCTGCAGGGAAGCTGGTGTCAGTTTGAGAAACGCTGATGTTGAGGCTGTCAGCAACTAAGCAGCAAAATCTTTACAACTGAGTGTTCTCCAATTTAAATGGCAACGTCTTCTGGATGTTCAGCTGCTCTGAGCCTATGCCAAAGAGTTCTTGGTTGCAGCTCTGAGGCAAGAGTGGTTTCACTCTGCATTTCCCTTCTGAGAAGAAAGATAAGCGATGCTGAGGCAGTGCAAAGTAAACAGTTTGGTTTTAGAGCTCAGCTTCTCCAAGCTATTCTCTTGTGACAGCTCCTTATGCGGCTTGTGTTGCATAGATTGGATGTGACACTGGTCAGAGCTGATAATGTTTGAAGGAGTTTTGAAGGAGCAAAGCTAAACCTGCCTGGGCTGGGAGACTTTTGTTGCTTGAAGTGAGACTTCTCTTTGGCCAAAGCAGTAATAAATAATAGCAACAACAGCAATGATAATTACAGTAATAATGATAAAGCTGCCTTTTGTTTCTCAGCTGAGGATAAATAAGAACCATCTGCAAGAATGTTTCTGAAACAGTTAAATGCTTTTATCTTTACTCCCTAATATTTTCTGGCTTCTCAACTGCTTACACCCATAGTATTTTAGTGCAGTAATCAACAATTGTGTGCAATTGCAGAAAAGGTAATAAAAAAGCACAGTCCTTTGTGATCCTATGAAAGGACTATGTTTTCAGTTTAGAAGGAAATTGAAGATGTATTTTTATAGTTGAGAGCAGCAGAGACAAAGAGTAACTGACTTGTATGTAAGGGGACAAATTAAAAAGAAGGATAATCAAACTTCTTGATTTCTGCTAGTGTAATTTAAATTTGTTCTGAAAGTTTATATTTATTTAGTACATGGTGTTTTGAAACGCAAAGACATCCCCATGCAAATAATTACAGCAAATCTGAATGTTCCCAAAGCATGACTAAATCAGATGCAAGTAGCCAAATTCCCTCATCCTCTTTGTCCTAAAAGCACTTCACTGTCTGTCTGTCTGTGTTACCTAGAGTGTGAGGTCATGAAGGGAGGTTTATCAGATATAGCAGGACCATCTGTCACAAAAATCTGCTGTAATGTTAGGATGAGTGACAAGCCAAAGTGGCCATCTGCTTTTAACACCATTATGTGTATATGTTTGGGGTGTGGTGTCAAAGTTTTCCTCGTTTAGTGAGATGATTGGTTCTCCAAATATTCCCCTGAACTAGATAATGGAAATGGTAAATGGTCCTCTTTTCATTGGAGGTGAATGATGCGTGTACCAATGCATTTTAGGAGGTCAAGAGGGACTATTGTACTTATAAAGTGATTTGTACAGCACAGTCTATAGAAGCTCATCCAGTAACTCCTCAGCAGGCCCTGTGTTGTGTAGAGAATACATCCCATTCAGGGGTCAGTGACAGGTAGTATAAAAATATTTGAAGCAATCAGTCATCGTATTGATCTTTTCTCCTAGAAATCTTCCATCAAGGAAAAAAAAGGTATTTCTGACTATTCAAAGATATATTATTCTCCTTCTTAGAGGGGACCAAAAAAAAAAAAAAAAAAAAATAAGCATAGTAGTATGTTTTCTCCCCATCCCTTCACTGGACTGATCACTGCTTCTTAGTGCTTTAGCTATGGGTGTGGAAGAAATTTGTATCAATGGAAAGAAATTGAGATACTTCACTTGCTTTATCCAGAAACATAATATCTGCTGTTAGTGCTCAGGAGAGGCTGCAGCAGCAGTGAACTTGAAATGAAGTGAGCAGTTAAGTGGCATGGCTGATTGTTCAGCCATATTCCTTCCTCTTTGTGTAAATCATTGTGGAAGCAGCAGAGGATTTCTTGCTGCACATCAGGATTGCATGAGAACATAGCATTTCTCCCCCCTGCCTCTTGCCATGTTGCTAGTTTTCCACTACTTCATTATGAAATGAAAGCATAAAATTTTGTTGTAAGATGTATTTTTGTTCTCTTTTAGGCAGTTGCTCATGGTCGCACTAAGGATGTGAGGCCATACACTCAAACAGGAGATCTTTAGCTCTGATGCAAGGGACATATCAATAGCTGTATCCTGCTTCCTGCATAGGACACAAAAATGCAAGGAGATCACTTTTGCTTTTTTTCCCTAGCTTATATTATGAGCAGCAGCCTGCTTTTTCCTAGATTTTCTTTGCGAGGAAAAGCAAAGGAAAAACAACATTCATTTTGACTTGCACTTCCTCTTTCATACATCATATCTTTTCTCCATCATAAGCTTCTCTCTGGTCAATTGTGTACTTCTCAAGGAAAGTTTTTGCCATAGAACATGGGGGAAAAGCTGTCTGGGGGAAAAGCTTGTCCGAAGAAATGTACTGTCTGCTAAATTTTTGATACCTAAAACCCAAACAGAGAGGCAGGAAATGGTAGTACGATCTGTCAGGCAGATCCATCTTCCCAACATCAAATTTGCCAAGCTCCTTGGCCCACTTCTTAACTGAGATGATTCTCCCCAGAAGAGTTGTGTTTCCAAACCATGAATCAGGTACTATGGTGGTGACTAACCAGTCCTTCAGCATTCAATGAAAATGATTTGTGTCTTTTGCCTCTTGTTTTATCGGATGATGGAGCTCTGTGACTTGTCCTTTGGCAGTTCAAAGCAGCACAGATTTAAATTGCCTTGATTATGGGCTGCACTGTATGGGAACTGTTGTGCTCCCTCCAGCTGACCTTGCTTCTAGTGGGACTTCTCAGAGCATTGAGACCTCAAACTTCCTTATTTCCCCATCACTTGTGAACTTCTTCCATCACAGCAGCACTGGGGAGACTGGGCTATGTTGTTGTAAAGGAGGAAGAGATGGATTGTGATACACAAAGAGTTGTTTTCGTATTGAAGATCACTGAGTCCTTCACTTCATCTCCCTTCTGGAAGGCACCTGCCAAGCTCTGCCATGGAAAATTGAAACATCAATGCCAATCACTGGAGCTTTCTGTCTCATTTTGGAGTTACCATTTGGAGTCATGTTTTTGCTAGACAACAGCAGCCCTTGGCAGGCATCAGCAGAGCAAGTCGAGCCATTTCAAAGCTCGTTCTTCGGATAAGGGGATGGGAGACATCACAGTCAGTTAAATGGAGCTATTTGCCAATAGTCCAAGAGGTCTTGTCCACATGCACGTTACCACTACATGCATAGGGTTCACAATACTGCAAAATTTTACTCAGGAAGTGCAGTCAAGGTCTGAACCCACCTCTTCTACCCTGTGCTAAATGTACAGCATCCCTGTACAGTGTGATGGAAACTACAGGTGTGTGGGACATATGCCTGGGCATGTGCATATCTCACTATCAAGGTGACTAAGGATGATGTATCCCAAAGGAAAAAGCAGCTGCTGCTGAGTAGCCCTCCTTCTCTCTCCCAGGTCTTGGTCCCCCCACTGCCAGTGACATCCTGTCTGTGTTTGACACAGAGGTCCCAGACTGAAGCAGCAGAAACTCTAGACATAGAAAGAAAGAGAAATTTATAATATGGTGGTTGGTATGCACAGATCTGATGTTCCTTGTGACAAGCTGGAAGGATCTCAAAACCAGCACAGTGAAATCAAACTGGCAGTAATTTCAACTAGTGACTGTTATAGACCTTCCTGTTTTGTATAAATCTTTTTAATGCAGCCATTCCACAGAAAGCAATCCACTCTAGAAATGTGTGACATTATTCAGGTAGCTGCTTTTGCTGTTTCAGCATGAAGATTAGGCAAGTTTTATGGGACCCCTGGTGGCCTAGTGGTTAGCATGCAGGACTCTCACTGCTGCGACCCCGGTTCAATTCCTCAGTCCCCCGGGCAGATGGGACCCGTTAGCCCTGTGAGGCCATCCATCTATGAGAAGGTCACTCTAAACAAACCTACGTCCTGAGGACCTCACTGCCATTGTCCAAGATTGCTTGGCCCCAGCAGATGAACCTTAGGATTAAAGGGTGGGCTCAGTTCAGCGCAGGCTGTGTCTCACCTAAAAAATCCATTGCGCAGGCTGGAAAGGTAAAAGACCTTTCCCAAAATCTTTGTTCGCGAAGACTGGCCATTCTTATTATTATGTAAGTATCATCTTCATTTCAATTTCCATATTGCATCTATGTTGCTTCCACTTGGCTTAGCACAGAAACAGACACAAAACTTGGTCGTACAAATGTTTTTACGTGCAATAAAATGTTAGAAAACAGTCAG